CTCAGCAGTAAAGAAAGATGAAATCATGAAATTTGCAGGTAAATGGATGGAACTAGAAACTGTTATACTAAGTGAAGTAACAGAGCTCAGAAAAAAAATCGAAGTATGTTCTCCCTCATATGTGGATCCTAGCACCAATTCCTGGTAAGTGAGTATGTATCCAGACATAACTACAGGAACCGGGATAATGGAAAAGAATCAAGGAGGTAATGGAAAAGAAAGAACCTGAAAGAGATGAACAGTAGGAAACAGGCATTAATGAAGAGATATGGATAAAAACTGGGTTAGTTTAAGGGAGGGGGGAGGCAAGGATATACAAGGAACCCAGGGGATAAAGGTAAAGAAGGAGCTCAAGAGAGATAGGACTATAGGAGAAGGGTATTATTAAGGGAGAAAGGGCGAAAATGTGGGCACCTTAATTGGGGAAACTATGATTGAGGGGTTAGACAATGTTAAAGATAAATAATGCCTAGCTAGTTTTCAAAATCAGAGGGAACCACATTAGTCCATCAACCTACTGACAAATTATACATACCAAATCAAGAAATATATATCTAGGCAAGGTTTATCTGAGAACAATTGGTTTTTGCCCAAGATTGATCTACATGGCACACAGTAATTAAGAGTACCAGACTGGTGGAACTAACCTTCTTGGATGTTTAACAGACATACTTTGAGGCCTATACTAATTTGGTCAGAGGGACATAAAGGACAGTTTTTGCTCATTGCCCTCCTAGGTCAACTAGTTCCAGTGGACTATGAGCATCTCTCAAAATGCCCTGTGATTGTGGTGTGTCACCTGTCCTCTTGATCAAGGAGGCTGAGGAAACCCCACAAGATGAACTTGAACCAGTGTTCAATCTACAAAGAGGGGGGTCAACACAGAGGAATCATTTCCTCCATGCTTTTAAGCCAAGACAGCCATGATCGATAAGGAACTTTGACTTATCTTCACATAAGTGGAACTGGTAAAAGAAATGAGCCAGGGTTCCTCCTGAACCCATGTGACCCCTGGAACAGATCCTCAAACGGCCTTAAGAGTAAAAATAAATTGGTTTATCGGGGCCAACTGTATGGCCTTTAACACCCAAAAGGAAAGTATAACCAAAGATTAAAGGGGCCAATATAATTTTTTAAGAGTCAATATGTATAGCTAAAGGCTACATAACAAGCAACAATGCCAGATAGGAGATACCTTCTTTTGAATTGTTGGTCAGAATGGCCCAAGGGACTCCCAGATTAGAAACCCGGCATAGAACTGCGAAAACGAATAGCAGACCCCAATCTTATCTAAAGGAATATTGACAACTGATTGCTACTAGATGAGGAACAGCTGACCTTCCTAAAACAAAGACCTCTAGATAGGCTAACTAGATTGTCCAGTTGGACAAGTAATGGGGAATGGCTGGGGTGCTGACAACACAACAGTCAGTACCAGAGATAACAGACTATAAGGGCTCTAGTGGGGTGAGGGAGGCTATGGGAGGGTGCCATATGGGAAGTGGGTGTATAGTTGAATAAGATGATTTGGGATGTTCTGTGATATACACACACACGCGCGCGCACACACACACACACTCAAAATCAACAAATTTTAAAAAATGAATTATATTTGAGGAGGAAGCATAAAAAATTTATATCAATTAGTAGACGTGATAAACATTACCATTCAAATCTACCCAATGACTTTATAGAAATACACAGGTGCCAAGGATCCAAGTGTAACTGATTATGACCAGTAATAATCAGATACATACAGATTAGATACGCATGCACCAACATCTCAGTGTTATTAGCAAAAACAATGAGTCTTTCTGTAAGAAATAATTAGTTTAAAATGAAATGTAGATCTTTTTTAAAGGTTAAAAAGTCATTCAATTTTACAGCTTACAGGGCTTATACTGAGTTCAGTATTGTATAACTGTATTAATTCAACAGCGAACCTACAAATTTTATAACCACTTTTGAAAGAGATGCATCTTTGCTCTGGAAACTTTTATTATGTTAAAGCTGTAATGAAATGCTTCTTCTAAAAAAATTTTTTTTCCTCTCTTTTTTTTTAATTAGAAGAAGCATTTCATCACAACAGCATTAACCCACCCAACAACATCCCTCTGAGCTAGGGCACATCTCCCCCAAAATTGGCCACACATTTCCAGGTCCACAGACGAACCATTACGCTTGTACAATCTTTTACTCATTATAAACTCCCAAGAGGCCTGAGGATAGTAGTCCTAAAAAAATTTTTTAAAAATAAAAAAACAAAAAGAAGAAAAAATTTTCTAAAGAGTTTACTAGCTAAAATGAAAATTAAAATAATTAGTTCAATAATAAGGTAACTTATTCTACTGCTTATAAACTATATATGGTTGTTTCTGAAGGGAATTCATAATTATTAAGGTTAAACGTAAAATTTATAGAGAACCTACATTATAAAATAGGTTTGGCTAGACATGGTAGTGCCTGCCTTTAGTCACAACTCTCAAGAGACAGAGGCAGGCAGATCTCTGTGAGTTCGAAGTCAGCCTGGTCACACGTTGAGTTTTAGGTCAGTCAGGGCTACAAAGAGAGATCATTTAAAAAAAAATAGGTTTAATTCATGGCCTATAAAATAAATAAAAAAACTTTTGACTATTTTAGCTATAACAAACAATAAAATTATACAAGTAATTTGCAGGTTTAAAGTTTATTTAATTTATATGCAGAAATGCAATGACCAATCATACAAAAGGCAACTGAATATGATTCAATTCTAAAATATATAAGGCTGTTAATTCTCTAATCCTCCTCCTAAAATCAAGATAAAAATGTTTCCACCAATGTGACAGAATTTTGAAGGACAGAGACTTTTCTAGAACCTGTAGGAGGGGCTAGAGAGATGGCCTAGTGGTTAAAGAGTACTGGCTGCTCTTACAGAGAACCCAGGCTCAGTTTCCAGCATCCACATGGCAGCTAACATAGATGAGTAACTCCAACACCAGGGTTCAGATGCCATCTTCTCGCTTCCGTGGGTATTGCACAACACAGGTATACTTACATGCAAGCAAAACACTCATACACAAAAAAATAAAAATAAATAATTTCTTTTTGATTTTTTCTTGACAAGGTCTCCCTGTAGCCCTAGCTGGCCTGGAACTCACTATGTAGACCAGGCTGGCCTTGAACTCACAGAGATTCACTTGCCTCTGACTCCCGAGTGCTGGGACTACAGGCGTGCACTACCACACCTGGCATAAGAAAAATTTTAAAAAAGAATCTGTAGGAACTTTAGAGGAAGTTTAAAAGTCTCACTAAAATTGTAATATCAGGACTCTGGAGGCTGAGGTTTGATAGTTACCAAAGGTTCAAAACTAGCCTAGTTGGGGCTGAAGAGATGGCTCAGCAGTTAAGAGCACTGCCTGCTCTTGCAGAGGACCCGGGTTCAATTCCCAGCACCCACATGGTAGCTAACAACTGTCCATAACCCCAGGTCCAGGGACTCTGATGCCTTCTGACCTCTGCAGGCACTGCATGACATGATGCACTTACACATATGCAGGAAATATAGTCATACACACAAAAAAATTAAATTAAAAAGAAAACTAGCCCGGTTTACATAGTGAGCCTGTCTCAAAATACAGACACACACACACACACACACACACACACACACACACACACACGCACGCGCGCACACACGATTTAACAGGACTTAGAAGTTACCACTTTATCCTCTCCCTGTCAATACTATAAATACACACACACACACATATATATATATACACATACTTAAGTAATAGATATAGTATATATGCTATGTTACTTGATATATTATAGATTATGCAAATTTGGCCAGATGTGGTGATGCATGCCTTTAATTCCAGCATTCAAGAGGCAGAGGCAGGTTGATTTATGTGAGTTTGAGGTCAGCCTGGTCTATATAGCAAGTTCTAGGCCAGTTAAGGCTACACAGTGAAAGCTTGTCTCAAAAAAAAGATTATATTAATTCATATGCAAAAAATATTTAAATTATGAAGAGTAATAAAATATTTTAAATTAAATATTATCATATTAGATAACACATATTGAGCATGCTTGTTTTAAGATTTTTTTTTGTGGTGTTGGGTATGGAACTCCAGCCCTCATGCACACTAAGCATATGCTTTACTGTATCCCTAGCCTGAGCATGCTTGTTTTTGAGTTTCAGAAAAATGATCTCAAACTAAATATAATCTAAGTCTTGACTTTTGCACCGAATACATTTCAGAAATATGGCTTTCAGAAAATCTTATTTTTAGTAAAGAACAAGGCAAAAGTGAACAGTAACAAAAGTTTAAGAGGCAAGCGAAAAAATTCATAGAATAGCAGTACAAATAAGTATGTGATATTGTCTTGTATACTATGTGTACGTACATGTATGTATGTATAAAAAAGGTGAATGTTTTAGGTCTTAAAATCTGATGGTATGGTCCTGATTTTAAGTAAGAGAAAAATTTGACTTTTATTTTATTAAAATAAAGAAATTAATATTTTAATGTTTTAGCTCAGTTTTTTAGTACTAACATGAACTAGATGAGTTTGGCATCATAAGAAACTTGATAATTTACCTAATTGTTTATAACTTTCTATTTCTTCCTCTAACTCTTGAGTATCTGGAATTTCTGAAATCAGTGGAGCTGGAGAGAGAAACCAATCCAATGAGTTTTCATTAACTGGAAAGCTATATGAAACAGAAAAATGTGAATATATGTTAACAAGGATGTAACATCAGAAACTATGTGTTTATTAAACATTACTCAAATACTGACTCTTAGATAACCATTCCATAAACGATCTTTCTGCTGCTGTTTTGCTTTACCCCTGTATAGCACTGTTTTCAATATCTTCTCCCTCTGTGCCCCTGGGTTAATGACACTGCTGTGTGAGATATGCTACCTAAATAATAATTGTAACTCTATCTCATTTTCTCCAATTTAGGTGCCAATGACAGAATCTTAAACCTGGTTCCAATATATTTTTTAAGTAGTAAATTATTCTCAAATGTTAGCATTTGAACTACTGCATGTAACAAATTGTCACTTATCTCACCCATAATCATGGGTCATAAACATGTAATTGACACCATTACTGTACTCTAGATTATTTTTGTAACATTATTAAAAAGTAATGGCCTGTCTGGAATATTTTTGATCTAAAACCATCCACAAATCACAGAAAATCTACAACTGAAACTGAAAATCACTTTACAAGTCTACAGTAACTGTGAGTTTTTATCCCTCTGTTGGCACCTTTAACCCCTTTTATCTTTCAGCTGTGATTCTGTCAAGATACTACTTTAACGAAATACAATTGAGAAGAGCACCATACATTACTGCCAATACTCAACCCAATGATTGTATTATTTTCATTTAGGATATTTAGGTCTCTGATGTGGTTGTCTTATTTTTCTGTCTCTCATAGCACCTACATAGCTACTATGGTCCTATTTTTCAAATAAAAAAACTACAATACGTTATCTATGTTTGACAGATTGTCTAACAATAAGCCAGAACATTTGAAATTTAGGGTATCAAAGGATCCTCAAGATCACTCCCTAGGATGATTCACAGGACTGAGCATATAGCTGTACATCTAGGTTGGGGCCAACGTCTGAAGAAACCATACACAAGTTCCCACAGGTCATCTCCTACTGGAGTCTCACAGGACATATTTAATTTTCTAAGTAATGAGTTGTGACAATATACATGAAAAGTTACCAATGAAGAAAGTTTATAAAGCAGTCAGTGCCAGGGTTTTTAATTGAAGACTAGTCACATAAGCATCCCCTGTTTGACATATAACTTCCAGAATTCCAGAAGCAGGTTTTCAGTCTAAGTCCTATTATTGGTATAAACAGTTTATGCAGAGTAAGCCACTATTATCAGTTAATGATGGGAAACTTCCTGAAATCTAAGTTCTCAGACTACACTCAAAGGCAAATCTTGTAAGTAGGCCTTTTAAGTATAGTAGTTCAGGCCTGCTATGTTAACTCTTTCTGCATAAGAACTATTTCAGAAAATCTAAGAAAGAAGATAATGAGTTACAGGCAGACATCTGGCTCCTCACAAAATTAAATCCCCCTTATGATTTCCCTGTTTTTTTCTAGGGGAACCATTATTCTTCCAGTCACCAAGGCCCAAGCAATAGCATATTTGCAATGTATATACAGACACACATCAGATCTTCCTTACAATGCTTCTTGTAATCATTTCTTCATATTTCTACTGTCACTGTTCTAACCAAAGTTCTAATCAACTCATGTTTGATTAAGAACAGTATATTAACTACCTTCACTGTCTCATGGCTTTCTAATACATTTTGCATTTTCTTAGCATATTAATTTCATAAATTTTTTAACCATACTACTCCATTCAAAATCCTTCATTGGCTTCCAAATAATGCCAAACTTCCCAATGGGCTTAGACCAGTTTAATATTATTATCCTACACATAATGTTAGTAAGGCCAAACTAAATTACTTCTTATATATTTGCTAGAGTTAGGGTAGTTTTGTTTTCCATTGCTGTGACAAAACAGCCTGACCAAAGCACATTTTAGCTTTATTTTAGCTCACAGTTCCAGGTTACAGTCCATCCTGATGGGGATGTCACAGTGGCAGAAGCTTGAGAACTGATCATATTATATCCACAGTCAAGAGCAAAGAACAAGTTAATGCATTCATGCCTGCACTCAGCTCCCCCTCTATTTTTCTATCAGTTCAGGGCCCAGCCCATGAAATGGTGTTATCCACATTCAGTTTGGTCTTTCCACCTCAATAAGCCCAATTAAGAAAATCCCTCATAGGTATGTCTACAGACCAACCTTATCTAGACAATTCCACATTGAGAATCCCTTCCCAAGTGATTCTAGATTGTGTCAAATTGACAAAACTAACCATCCATTTCCTCCGGAAGCCCATATTAAAGGTCTGGCTGTCAGCCTGTTGGGAGGTGGTGAAACCTTTTAGAAATTGAAGAGGGAAGGAAGGTGGAAGTTAGGTCATTAAGGTGTGTCCTTGCAGGAGATAATGGGGTCCTGGCTTCTTATCTCTCTTTGCATCCTACCTGCCATAAGATGAGGGATTCCTCTGCTACATAATTCTACCATAACATATGTGCCCTAAAGCAACAGATAAACAGACCATAACTTCCAAACTATGGGCCAAAATGAACCTTTATAAATTATTTATTTGGGGTATTTTTTTTCACAGTGACACAAAGATGATGAACACAATACTAACTAGATAATACATTCTGTACCTCGTCACTTAAATTTTTATTTACTTATATTTATTTTTTATTGTATGAGTGTTTTGCTTGCATGTATGTAAGTGCACTAATGCATGCAATGCCCACAGAGGTATGGTTGTTAGCCGCCATCTGGGTGCTGGGAACTGAATCTGGGTCCTCTGTAAGAGTAGCTAGAGCTCTTACTTGCTAAGCCACCTCTCCAGCTCTTGCATCTCTTCATTTCTGTTCAAAGATATTTCCTTTGCTCTCTTTGGTTCTATATCCTCCTCATCCCCACATCAATCTATAGAAGTTCTACTATTTTATTCATCCATTAATCAATTCAATCAATAAACATTTATTGAGGCCACATATTAGCTGCAGTTTCAGGCACTAGACATTATATTCAAAGCCCAGAACAAATTCTACTTTTTCCAAGAAATCTCCACATTTTCTCAAAGATTTTCTCCTTTTTCTCTTCTTATAGACACACCATACATTTCTCATTGTCCTTGTGCTGTATGTATATGAAGGCAAATAATAGAAATTCAGATAGAATTAGGAAAATAGGTAACCTGATACTACTTGATTATAAATATCTACAAGTTTTGTTTTCATTTCCACTTCTATCAGTAGTACTTAACATAATATGCCATTCAAGAAGTACTTGCTGACTTAATTCCACTTTTCAATATTTTTTTAATTTTTTATTTTTATTTTATGTGTATGAGTGTATTGCCTGCATGTATGTGACTGTACCTGTGTTGTGCAATGCTACAGAGGTCAGAAGAGGGCATCGGATTCCCCTGGAACTGGAGTTAAGGACCGTTTGTAGCCGCCAAGTAGGTGCTGGGAATTGAACCCAGGTCCTCTGCAAGAGCAGTCAGTGCTCTTAACAGCTGAGCCATCTCTCCAGTCCCTTAATTCCAGTTTTCAATATATATTTATATCCAAGATTCTTTTTAAAAAAATTTTTTGCTCACTTTTATTTTATGTGTATGAGTGTACTGTCTGCATGTTTGTATATGCACCCATGTTATGCAGTGCCCATGAGGACAGAAGAGGGTGTCAGAACTGGAGTTGGATATGACTATAGATAGTTGTTAGTCACCATGTGGGTACTGGGAACTGAATCTGGGTGCTCTGCAAGAGCAGCCAGTGCTCTTAACTGCTGGGCCAGCTCTCCAGTCCCATATCCAAGATTCTTATTCTGTTATTTAACATGTACAACAGTCCACCCTCAATTAACTTCTGATTATGTCTCACGTCATCTCCTTTATGAATCAGATACTGCAGGAAATCTCTACATACTATTTCTTAAAAGCATAGGAAGTTATCCCATCTCCATTCTTTCTTCTTTTAAAAATATTTTTATTTTTATTTTTTGTGTGTATAAGTACCCTTATACACATGCACGTAAGTACACTGCATGCACGTACATACACTCATGTTGTGCAGTGCCCATGGAGGTCAGAGGAGGGTTTTGGAATCCTTTTACTACAGATTCAGACAGTTGTTAGCTGCCATGTAGGTGCTGGGAATCAAACCCAGGTCCTCTGCAAGAGCAGACAGTGTTCTTAACTGCTGGGTCAGCTCTCCAGCCCACTCTTTCTCCTTTTCTGTTAACATTCTACCTTCAGCGCCTACTTTCTCTCTGCTAAAAGAATGATCAAATCCCTCAAAGCCTTCTGAAGTCCCTTCTATGAAAAAGCTTGTCCTTGACCATCTAGCAATGATCTTCCTTCTAAGTACAAAAGCCCACTGCATGAATATATGCTTATCATTTCTCTTCAACATATTTTTGATTTTGTGTTGTGTTAAACATACTCATTCACGATCAAAAGTGTCTCTGTCTGGGTAAATACACATCACATTACTTATCAATGGCCTTTCCATATATGTGTTTATCTGAACCATATCTAAAATAGCTTAAGGACTTTTCATATCCTTTCAGTACTCAATCAATATCTGATACTGAATGAATGAAAACAGTGAAATGTCTCATTAATACAGGAAAATACAATAGAAAAAATACACAGAAAACTCAGAATATAGAGAGCAATCCAAATGTGACAAGCTGTAAAAGCAGGCATTCCACAGACTGCCTACTCTCTACTCTTGTTGCCTTTGGTCCTACAGCTTTATTTCTGCATCTGTTTCATGCCTACACTGAATCTGTCTACCTCATTTGGCCTCTGGAACAACGTCCATTCTGTTTCCAAAAAGTGCCATCACTTCCTGTCCTGTTCTTTGACCATTACGTCCAGTCTTTATTGTGGCCAACAATCATTTGACAAATCAGATATGGAATCCAAAGAAACAGAATTTATCTCAAACTACAACATTTAAGATTGTAAACTTTAGTTACTCCCTTATATCAGAATTCCATGTTTTCTAAACATAAAAATGAAATGTCAATCTGTTGAACATTTATTTTTTGTTTGGTTACCAGAGAGAAAAATTAAAATTATAAAAACAAAAATAATATACCAGATAACCCTTCTTTAAGGAACACTTACTTTTCATCCAGGCTACTGAAAAACAAATTATCCACTGGAAAAAAACAATCACTTGATTTCAGCATTGTTGAAAACTGGATTTTGCCATAAATCTACAAGGTATAAAAAAGGCTGTTTATATTTAATTTACAAAGATGTTAGGAAACTACTTCTGGATAGATCAGAATCACTAATTTCCCAGAATGCTTTCTAAAATATAATTAAAGACAATTCTTTGAGCTTTGACTTCTGTGACTTTCTTGAAAGTGCCTCAATAAGGGAATACATTGTTTGCTGTTCTCCGCTCATTCACGTTTTCACACTTGTGCTTCTCTCTTCATATTTATCAATACTTAAAATGTATTTTCTTCCATTCTTCAGCTGGCAAAGTCTTACCCATCCTGCAGAGTATAGGTCACCATTGCTAAAAACATACATTACTCTTTTTTAATTTCAAAGACTCCCTGCCTGATTGCACACCAAAATCAATCTCATTTTTGTCTAAATTCTGAAACATAATAGAGCATTCTATAGGTTGAAACATAAACTAGGTGCACAAATAATAAAACATGCATTACATTTCCATTTCTTCTGTGATAGTCAAGACATTACAAATTTGTTCTCAGGACAGAAATTAAAAATTTTAAAATGACATGAGTACCATCTCATGGAGAAAAACCTATTATCATGTTAGACTATAAGTCTCCAATGTTGAAACCTCTCGAATAAAGAAATAAAATACATGTAGGAATCATCCTGGGAGGAAGGATATTTCCATGTGTACCTCTTGACAAATACTATAGGTGAGAAGGCTAAAACCCACAAATACATTAGGCCTGTTGTTACTGAGCCAGAATATTGTAGGATTTTTTCCCATTGTTTTAGTTATAGGTTTCCCACCCCATATTTAACTGTCCCTTTTATTTTAATTAATCACCCAATCATCAACAAAAATAGTTAGTTAAAAACTAAAGTAAGTATAATTTTATAAATGTCTGAAAAACCAATTTGACTGCATGATAAACAGCCTAAAATAACAGGGCAGGATACAAAGGAGTCATTCAGAAATATGGTTACAGATCTTTAGCATCTTTATTTATGTCAACAATTTTAGAATTTGAAAAGTCACCTGAAAAACTATGCTAATTAACACTGTATTGTCCAAAAAGTAACAAAATGTTTCCTGTCTAGTTTTAGAACTATATTTAATCAACAAAAATTTAATAAATTAGGGTTGGAGAGATGGCTCAGAGTTAAGAGCATGTACTGCTCTTCCAGAGGACCATGGGTCCCAGTACCCATGTCAGACGGTCACAATCACCTGTAATTCCAACTCTAGGAAATCTGATACCCCTGGCTTCCATGGGCACCAGTACTCACGCACATCCACAGAACTAAAAATAAAACTAAAACAAAAATCTAATAAATTAAAACTCATCCAATCATGTTTATAAGGCTCTGCTACCTCTTATTTTAAGCAGAAAATCATAAGGCTAACATTTATGTGATTAAATTCTTTATTATACAAGACATTGGATATAACAAGAAATTAAAGCTAATTTTAACTGTTGTAACTATACAAAAAAAAAACTCCTACATAAACAGAAAATACTGTTGCAAGATTTTTTTTTTTTAACATAGGGTTTTATATGTAGCCCTAGCTGGCCTAGAATTCACTAAGTAGACCAGGCTGGCCTCAAATTCACAGAGATCTGCCTGTCTTTGCCTACAAGAAATTTTTATTTCTAGTTCTAGTAGATGATCCATAAAAATTCATTGTGGAATGAATGAGCAATCCATTTATAAAATAATTTTAATAAAAATAATTTTCAGTTAACCAATTTACCATAATGTTAATATTCAGTTTAAAAATGTGAATTTTTTTTTTCTAGCTCAGGATTCATAGAGTCATACCATGAAGGCTCTAACAGATGAAGAATTTGGAACTTTCATCATGTAAATATATCATTTTTAAAAACACAGTCCCTAAAAGGATTTAAGTTTGTGATATAAGGAGATGCTAAATTTTGAATTACAGTTGTAGGTTTAGATTAAGATTTTCCAAATTCATTACAAAGTCCTTGTTTCCGAGCAAGGCTTGATGGTAGGAACCTATAATCCCTATAACTGGGGAGGTGGAGACAGGAGGACTCGTAGTTCAAGGACGGAGTAAGGTCAGTTTGGGCTACAGGAGAGTCTATCTCAAAACAAACAAGCAAACAATAAAGGTTTCAGTATGTGTACAAAAACACTTAAAAAATGCAATAGATAGTATCACAGGTTTTTTTTGTTTGTTTTGTTTTTGTGGTCTTTCTGACACACGGTCTCCCCATAGCCCCAGCTATCCTGGAACTACGTAGACCAGGCTGGCCTTAAACTCAGAGATCCGCCTGCCTCTGCCTACCGAGTGCTGGGATTAAAGGTGAGCGGAACAACCGGCCTCATCACAAATATTTTTTATTTTATACTGAAACTTCTTTTGTGACTACATAATTTGTTGCCTGTAAAAATAACACACGCCTTTCTCTAATTCTATTGACCACAATTTAGTATTTTTTAATTCCCTATAATCTTTACTTACCGTATAAATCATCGGATTATGTGTTCCTTAATAACTTTTACACTTGAAAAGATACTTAAGAGGCAGTGGCTCACACAGTAAACCCAAAACCTTGATACGAGGCAGGAGGCCAGGCTGGACTACAATTTGAGTTCCAGGCTAGCCTACGTTCTAGGGGTGAAAAAAATAATCCATAGATAATTGACTTGCTAGAAATCTTTACTCCGTGAAGAGCCGAAGACCACATTCAGTGGAATGACTATCTCAGAAGACCGCAGAGAATTTGACAAGGGCTAAGGCTTCTCAAAGCCTTCCTGCAAGCCAGAAAAAAGGCCACGCCACTATCCCCAGTCCACGTAAAGGGGCCCGCACCGCTATCCCCACCCCACGCAAAAGGGCCGCGCCGCTATCCCCGGGGTGCGTGCGGAGGAGGCCCTGAAGTTGGAGCGAGCGGCCCCCCGGGTTCCTGAGCTACACGGAAGCCCGGCGCCCGGCTGCTCCTCAGGTGAAAGCTTAAGGGCCGCAGAGCAGCCACCAGGGCGCCCCTTCCCCGGCCTGGGCCGCAGCCAGGGTCTCATTCGCTCAGGGGGGGCGACTCCGGTCTGGGGGGCGCCAACCCCTAGCAGGGACGGGCACCTCCCGGACGCGCGAGGCCGCCCTCCAGCGGGCAACCGGAACCGCGCGCAGGCCTCGGCCTCCTCACAGGAATGCGGCCTAGGCGCCCCGACGGCCTTGCGGCCTCACCACGCTTCCCTTCGTAACCATGGGCAGCCGAGCTGCTGTATGACCCCGGGAAGCCGAGCTGCGGCTGTCCTCCTCTCCGACGCCCCCCATCCCCGCCCAGCTGCCACCTCGGTCCCCACCTACCCGCTAACACCACATCTGGCCCCCACCTCTCCCGAGGTAGGTCTGTGCTCCAAGTTCACACCTCCAGGCTAGCAGGCTGAGCACCGATTCACCCGCAGGTCTGAACGAACTGCCCCCAGCCTGGCTTAGTTGAGCTCCAAGCAATGGATCGCCAGCCCCCCACCCCCCCCCCCCACCCCCGCAACTCCCTTCCCGGTACAACTGTTTTCTACAAAAATTGGTAATTGCTTTTGAACAATGCATCACTTCTTATTAAGTAAAGATCTTAATCTTAGGCATTAGGACATACCATATGATATCGCTTCTAACAGCCGAGTCTGCGTGACCACCACCATCCAAACACAGTCCAACCTGCCTTTCTCATAAGACATCAGCTAGGCCTCAGAGATGGGACTTCCATTTTCTTATTACCTAAAAAGCATCTTAAATGTATTATTTAATTAATTTATTTATTTCATTTGTTTATTATTTGTTTTGTTTTTTAATTATTTATTTTTATTTTATGTGTATGGGTGTTTTGTCTGCATTTATGTAAGTGCACCCCTGTTGTGCAATGCTCATGAAGGTCAGAAGAGAGCATTTCCCTGGAATTGGAGTTACAGACAGTTGCTGGCTGCCGTGTTGGTGCTGGAAATGAAACCCAGGTCCTCTGCAAGAGCAGCCAGTGCTCTTAATTGCTGAGTCAGTTCTACAGCCCCTGTTTTGTTTTTTGAGATAGGGTCTCCCTGTACACCCAGCTGGCCTGGAACTCACCATGTAGACCAGGCTGGGCTGGATCTCACAGGGTTCCACCTGCCTTTGCCTCCCTAGTGCTTGGAATGAGCCACTGGCCCTGTTGAATAGTGAGTTCTTGTGCTGCAAACTCAAAATATAAACTTAAATTATTATGTTAAATTTCTTAAAGTCCTGTGAAGATTGGCAGAGAGCATTTTCACAGGAAAACTTGTAAACAGTGAAATAGCTTTTCAATGATGTCTTTCTTCCAAAGATATTTAGATGTTTTATTTTTCTTTTTTTAAATAATCAGTTTTTATTCTTTTGTTTTTACTCTACTGAACAGAAACACTGGTTGTGATTATCCAGTCAGTAAACTCAAGTAAAATGTATGACTTAATACAGCTAAAGTGTCCTCCTGGGGAGTAGGAGTGTTAGGATCAAAGCCAGACATCTAATAAATAATTTAAATATTCTCTTTATCCTATTTGGGACATTGTGTTAGTGTATATGTGAACAAATACATGCCTATATGAAACAGTCTTTGTTTTTAACTCTCCCACCTCTGACATCTAGGGCCCACATACTTCTGTCTGACCTATTCCTGTTGGCTTTTTTTCTTTGCAGCTCTGCTGCTTATTGCGTATTTGAACCTAGGATTTCTAGGTTTCCAAGTCAAATATCTAATAATCAGCAGAGCTGCAGTGCCCTCAGAGGCCAAAAGAGGTCCTGAGAGCCCCTGAATCTGTAGTTAACACGTAGTGTGCGCCATCCCTCATGGGTTCTGGGAGCTGAATTTAGGTTGTTCCGAAGAGTAGCAACCTCTGAGCCATCTCTTCAGCCCCTAGATCCATATACTTAATGAAGGAAAATCTCTTAGCAAAAGAAGGTACATGTGTTATGGACTGGATGTTTACTCTTATTTGCCAAAATTCAAATGTTGAA